ATTTCATCAGAACTTTCCATGACCCTTGGACTGGTGTCTAGTCAAGTTTTGGGGACTTGTTATAGATAAGCCTACTGAGCACCGCTCATAACTAAGAGAATTGAGAGAAAAACAAAAGGTTTTTAAGAAATGGAGGTGTGCGTTACAAGTAGCTCACCCCTAATGTTCTTTCTGAGACATAAAAAAAAATTAGTCCTTTTCTTAATACTTCTGATTTCTGGAGTGTGTGTGTGTGTGTATGTTAATGGAATTCTTGAACATATGGGGTGAATGGGCCCAGATATATATTCGAGTTACATCTGAAAATTACATTCCTGCAACATCAAAGTGTTCTACTGAGCAGCATAAAGTAGCTGGAACTAAACAAGGAAAGAAAAGCTGATACATTTTAATTTTGTTTTCCTAAAGCCTGAAGAACCTGGCATAAGACCCTATAATGTTGTGCATTATACTTGAGACAATGAACATGATTTTTATTTCTTAGTCTTTAAGATGTGTGAGTTTTTCAAATATGTTCTCTAACCAATAGCCATCTGCATATGAATTTGGAGAGAAGATACTAAAACAACTAGGTTTTATTGGTTTGAGTGTTTTAATAGTGACAGCATTATTGGTAAAGTATGTGGAAATAAATTGCTGTAAATCTAATTAAGGGTAGACAAAAGTTCAAACAGGGAGTTATTTTTGTCACAAAAACATTTCTTAGTTTCTCACCATTGTCACTGCTAACCTCGTCTGAAAGGTCCTATGCCTAAATTATTACAGCAATTTTGAAGTACAAACAAATATATTAGAACTTTGATTAAAGAAAAATGAATAGACATTTCACCAAAGAAGACGTGCAGATGGCCGACAGCTATATGAAAAGGTTTTCAACATGCCTAATCATCTAGTCATGGAAAAAACAAATCAAAACCACAATGAGATGTCATCTCACACCTGTTAGAATGGTTATTGCCAAAAGACAAAAGCTAACAAGTATGGATATGGAGAGACGAAACCCTTGTACACTGCTGGTGGAAATGTAAGCTGGTGCAGCCACTATGGAAAACTATAGAGGTTTCTAAAAAAAAATAGAACTACCATAGGATCCAGCGATCCCATTTCTAGGTATATAGTCACAGGAAATGAAATCAAGATCTCAAAGAGATATCTGCACTCCCATGTCCAGTGCAGCATTATTCATAATAGCCAAGATACGGGAATGGCCTAAATGTCAATCAATAAGTGAGCAGATAAAGAATATGTGAGATGTTCAATACATATATGTATGCATATATATATATATGTGTGTGTGTGTGTGTGTGTATACACACACATAAGCACAAGATGGATTATTATGCAGCCTTAAAAAAAGAAGAAAATCCTGCTATTTGTAATAAGATGGATGTATCAGGAGGACATGATGTCAAGTGAAATAAGCCAGACATAGGAAGATGAATGATGTATGATGTCACTTATATGTGGATCTAAAATAGTCAACTCATAGGAGCAGAGTATAGAATAGTGGTTTCCAGGGGTCAAGGTAGGGGTGGGATGGCAGAAATGAGGAGAAGTTAGTCAAAGTGTACAAAGTTTCAGTTATGCACAATAAAAAAATTCTGGAGATCTAATGTACAACACGGTGTAACAGGACTGTGTTGTATACTTGAAATTTGCTGAGAGGGTAGATCTTAAGTTTTCTCACCACAGAAAAGAAAGAAGAGCAAAAGAAAGGAAGGAAGAAATGGTTATTATGTAAAGTAATGGATATGTTCACTGGGGTGACCACTTCACAACCATACATATTTAAAACATGTGTACCCTTTAAACATATACAATTTTTTTGTCAATTATACTTCAAAAAAAGCTGGAAAAAATAAATATACTGAATTTTGAGGTGCAATTTGAATTTAAATAAATTTAATAACATTAAAGGTTGCGATGACAGCAGTTGGTCAGAAATGTATTACTAAGAGTGAAACTAGATTTTGTTAATTTGTTATATAAAATATAAGATAGATATAATGTGTTGTCTTCCTGTCTGTTGCAATTAGAGTGCAGAACCACAGAGGACAGGACGGAGAGCATTCTGTGCTCACAGCGGGATATCTATGAGTTATTTAATTTGTGGATAATTAATCCTTTGGCTTTTTAAGTAACTAATCAGGTAAATTCTTAGTAACATACAACTTCATTTTATGGGCAAATGATTATGGATTTCAACTGAGAATTTCTCTTTAAAATAAATTAATTGTGTCTACAAGACAACTTGAATGCATGTTGTGTGAGGTAGAAAATATTCGGCAGTGTATTTATGGGAAAATGCCTATGACGTACACCCAGTTAGGTATTCTTTTACACAAGAGTCAGTTGGAGAGTCGGCATAGGAATTGCAGAATTTGGTCCCTTTGCGCAAGAAATAGGACAACTAGTACATTTCCTCTCGAAGCCCTCCTTCTATTCAGAGCATCAAGTTTATAGAAATTTGAGCTTTCTGCAAACGGAAATTTACAGCAAGGCTGAAAGTGAATACCTTTTGATTAACAATAATTCATGCCGAATTTCTGTCTGCTTCCTATTTTTAACGTAGAATAGTGTTGCCCTTTTTCCTGTTTTCCATCCCATTCTGACCCATTTATTACTAGATTACTTCTGAGAAATTCAATTTCCTTCCTCCCATCCCCACTTTTTTTTATCGTCATATCACAACTTTGGTTAGTGGGATTAAATAAAAACTGCTCCTTAATTTTCTTCCAATTCGCCAGCAAGGGCTCTGCTTTGGTAGATGACATGGCAGCTGACAACTCAGTTCCTTGGAGAGGATTTAACTATACCTCGGGGGTGTTTCACGATAAACTTTGTAGCAAAAGAAAGGGCATTCCCAAGTATTCCCATTTTATGCTTATTTTTATCTTTTTTTCAATAATTTTTTGTTTTTAATTCAAGAAAATTACATATGACTAATATTATTTGAAAAAATCATCCAATGAGAGATAACATTTTGGAGAGTTTATGAAAATATCCTATAGATATTTATGTTTAGTAGACAACATTTAATAACAGCTTGTCACATTTTTAATACATTTTTAGAGGGATTCGCTGAAAGCTAACATCCCAAATTGAAAATTGGATGTTATTACTTTTCTAACCTTCCCTTCCATCTTCTGTCCTCTAAGATGCCTCAAGTATTATGTGCAACATCTCAGAGAAATCAACCATTAGCTTCCTAGTCAGCTGGGATTTCCCTTAGTCCGATCCCGCCCCCTCAGGGATGGGCCACTGCATCATTCCTCACCGGAAAGCACCTGAGATGGGGAGGAGAGAGCAGAGGTCACTGCTACTCATGACAGCAATGCTGGCTCAGATGCCTGGGCTGAGGCTGTAATTCAGAAACACAGTTTTATCCAAATATGCATCCAACTCAGAATTAATTAGCATTCTTCCACACCCTACACAATGTCTGCACAGTAGAAAAATATCTATGAATAGATAATTTAATAAATATGACAAAATATTAATACCTATACATTTTGCATGGAAAATTCAGAGTATCAGATTATTAAAGCTTCAATGGAATGAACCTGTGCTGAGTTCTGACAGTCCACTACTCTGGGGGCAAGGACAGATCATTGTCCTTAGCAGCAAGGAGTTTATATTACCTGAAGTAAAATACATTGCTTCAGAAACTGAGTGTTTCCTGAAAACTGTGGCTCCTTGACTCACTTTTTCCCCCAACAATAACTTCTAGTTTACCTATTTTAGTGTACATTAGCAAAACTGTTGATAAATGAGATTAGATGATTTTACTATGAGTGACTTGCAAGTGCCAATTTTCTCTTCTATTTTCTACTCTAGGCCTTGGTAATTGGGTATTACTAATGGAGAGATCAGGGAATTAATTTGACTAGATTAGAATGAAATTGGAAGTTTTAGGTAGGCACAACTACTCTTCCCTGTAATGGGCCAACAGTACATTTTCTAGAGAAGCAGAAATGGAATAATCAATTAGCCATCAGGTGGAGACATTACCATGTGTGCTTTGCACTCCCGTGAAGCCCTTCGTTTATGTCATAAAGTATCATCGTTCATGTAAACTCTCTCTTTCCCCAAGGTTATACTTGGAATGTGTATTTACTACCAGATTAAAATTGTCATCATTATTTTTTCCAATAAAATTGAGTTAAAACCTGGGGAGAATAGTTATTTAAAACACAAACTATATTATTAATATGACACTTCAATAAAAAATGGAAATAATGGTTACATTTACTTACCTATTTGGGTTGTATTTTAATACTTGGTAATTTTGCCATAATTATGCTTCAGTCATTTTATTCATAATAATGTTCTCCTAATTCTGAACTTCACAAATCCTAATGTGTAGTTTAATGAAGTATAAAGTGTATTTTTTATCTTTTAGATCATTATAAAAAAGAAGAAATTGCCATTGGCATATAGAATACAGATAATATATAAAAAGTCAGAAATAAGACACACATTTTAATATGATAATTTATCTAACTTCCTTAGCTAACTAGGAACTGTGAGACACAAATCTTCTGAGTAAATATTTTAAGTTCTGATTTGGGTGACTTATTGCTACATTGCTTGCATAGCTTAAGTGAGTCTATGAGGGAAAATGCAATGCAGAGCCACTGGATAGCCAATTCATTCAGTTAAGTTTAGGTCATATGGATAAAATCTCATTTTTTTCAAAAAGTGCACTTAAGTTTTCAAGAAGATGGATTTTGTCTATCTCATTCGTTTATCTTAATATTTTCAATTATTCTAATCTACAAAGAACACAAAATACTCATTCTACCCTTTGTCAACTCAGTTGTTAACATTCGTGGACTTGGAAAAAAGCTCAGAAAATGACAGAGTTCAACAATATTTTTCCGGTGTTTGGTTCTTTAAAATACACAGCCTTGAGATTCTGTTTGCACCAAGGGTGCACCTGAGCGCCGGGCCCCTCCTGCCCAACGGTATGAGATCAAAATTGTTTCTGATCCTACCAGAAGGCCTGGGCACAGCCACAGGGTAGCCTTGAATTCAAGAGGAGAGAGACCCCTGCGAAGGACAAGGGGGGCAGATGGGGTCGCCCGGGAGTCAGGCTGGAGGACGCCGGGGAGGACCCGCGCTGGACGTGGGAGCCCCGCTGTAAGCCGGGTGTGGCCGTAACCACGCAGGGAGCCCCGGTCCCGCAGCCTCCAACCCCGCCGAGCGGGGACCCTGGCCCCCAGGAAGGCAGGCCGGGAGGGGCCGGGAGGAGCAAACCGCATCCCCCCAGGCTCCCCGCCCTGCCGGCTCCTGACCTTCTCTCTTGTGATCAGAGGGTCACAAGGCCTCCTGCCCAGAGGTCACAGGCAGACCAGCACCGCTGGAGGGCCAGGGGCGGGAAGCCGCCTGCAGCCGGGTGGCCACCCCTCCACCCTGCAGGAGGCCCAGGCCTGGGGTAACAGGCCTGCAGCTTAGGGGCTGGGGGTGGGAGGCTGCCCCGAACAAGGCCCCACACGGGGGTCCCACCCCTGGGAAGGCCGAGGCTCCCTGGGCTGAGGCAGGACGAGGAGAGCCTGGACGTCTGCAGGGCCGCGGGCAGGGCGTGGAGAAAGGCACCCTCCCCAGTGCAGACGTGCAGACAACGCCCAGCGGGGGCGCAGCACGGACGCTGCAGGAGAACCGCCCTGCGTCACAGCCGCGGCCCGAAGCCCAGCGCGCCCGCGCCCGCGGAGAGAGGGACCCGAGGATTCTGATGCACGGAGCAAAGTCAGAGCAACTCGGAACCCCAAATCCAGCCCAGGTCCGGACCACCGTCAAAGCTAATAGGGCACAGCCACAGGGTAGCCTTGAATTCAAGAGGAGAGAGACCCCTGCGAAGGACAAGGGGGGCAGATGGGGTCGCCCGGGAGTCAGGCTGGAGGACGCCGGGGAGGACCCGCGCTGGACGTGGGAGCCCCGCTGTAAGCCGGGTGTGGCCGTAACCACGCAGGGAGCCCCGGTCCCGCAGCCTCCAACCCCGCCGAGCGGGGACCCTGGCCCCCAGGAAGGCAGGCCGGGAGGGGCCGGGAGGAGCAAACCGCATCCCCCCAGGCTCCCCGCCCTGCCGGCTCCTGACCTTCTCTCTTGTGATCAGAGGGTCACAAGGCCTCCTGCCCAGAGGTCACAGGCAGACCAGCACCGCTGGAGGGCCAGGGGCGGGAAGCCGCCTGCAGCCGGGTGGCCACCCCTCCACCCTGCAGGAGGCCCAGGCCTGGGGTAACAGGCCTGCAGCTTAGGGGCTGGGGGTGGGAGGCTGCCCCGAACAAGGCCCCACACGGGGGTCCCACCCCTGGGAAGGCCGAGGCTCCCTGGGCTGAGGCAGGACGAGGAGAGCCTGGACGTCTGCAGGGCCGCGGGCAGGGCGTGGAGAAAGGCACCCTCCCCAGTGCAGACGTGCAGACAACGCCCAGCGGGGGCGCAGCACGGACGCTGCAGGAGAACCGCCCTGCGTCACAGCCGCGGCCCGAAGCCCAGCGCGCCCGCGCCCGCGGAGAGAGGGACCCGAGGATTCTGATGCACGGAGCAAAGTCAGAGCAACTCGGAACCCCAAATCCAGCCCAGGTCCGGACCACCGTCAAAGCTAATGATCTCTTAAAAGAAGAGGCACGGTCACTTCTGGGCATAAATACCACTTACGTCAGTCTCTGATGTTCCTTACGTGATGCTCAGTATCAGCCTTCAGAGACGAGGAGGCAACCAGAAAAACACAGAAAAGCCACCCAGCGCCAACACCACAGGGCGAACAGACCCAAGTGTAGAGATGAGATCAGGCTGGGACGCAAAAAGGAGTATGAGAAATATATTCAGTAATCTAGTGGGATCGATGGACACCATACGAGCAGGTGAAGGACCTCAGCACAGAGGACAGATTTTTTTAAAAAATGGAATGGAAATGATGGAGATGAGGAATTTGACAGCTTCATCAGACTTAACCCAGCTGGGGAAAGAAAAAGAGGACTTGCAACTAAATCATTATAAGCACCCAAACTAAGTGCCAGAGAGCCGGGGGGTGGGGGGAATGCACAATGAAGAACAGGGAAGTGAGGAGAGGCCAGAAGTCCACCTACATTTAACGACAATGAAAACAGAAAATGGGCAGAAATATATTGAAAAGGTAATCGCAGAGCAATTTCAGTATAACAAATAACATCAAGTACAATAACTCAGAGACGTGCTCATGCAAAAATAAATAACAACTAAGATCCAAAGATAAAAAAATGTTAAAGAAAAAATCTTTTTGGTCTGTTTCTCTGGAGAACCCTGATAACACAACACTAAAATTATAAACAATTCAAGTCTCAAAGCCTATCTTTTGGAATGATCAGAATATATCAAATATATATACCAGGGCCTGGGTATTTATGTATTCGATTTGTGAATTTCTATGTAAACACTGGTATTAATCTCAGTTTGTGAGATGCAGAATATCATGATAAAGAGATACACAGGCTCTAAAGACAGTTTTACTGCATTTAAATCCCAGCTCCAAAACGTCTAGCTGTGTGACCACAAGTCCTTTGATTTATCTGTACCTTATTTTCTTCTTCTGTAAAATGGGATACTATGAGAACTCTTCTCATATGGTTATATTAAATGAGTTGAAATGTAAAGTCCTTTAAATAGTGCCTGGCACAGGGAAAACACATAAAATAATCATGATCACTTATGATTTGTTTAGCAGGGACCACTGAATTACCTTTACTTTTATTCAAATACGTTTCCCTTATATAGCATAGTTCAGGGGATTATTATATGATGTTTGAAGAATATTCTCTAGTACATTTAATTTTTAAAAACTTTTAACACTTTAGTTTATAGCAGCTTCTACTACGGGGGAAAAATGCACATCTAGTACATCCACCCTCCTGTAAGTAGTAGACTAGCTCACACTCTAATCTGGGCATAAAGTAACAAGCGTGGCCCTTAAATTCTCTTCCAACTTGGAGTTTCATTTTTTTTTAACCTGAGAAATAGTTACTTTCAACAATTAATATGATTTTATTTCATCATCTAAAAATGTTCAAAGTTATTTTTAAATTGTGTGCAATTCCAATTTTATAGTGCTACACAAAGTGCTGAAAAATGTACTTCATCTTAAGGAATCACTGTGTTCTTTAAAGAGTGCACATTTATAATTACAATTATACAAAACAAAGCAGATCTTGGAAGTTTAATTCCACAGTGATTCTGAAATACGGGTCGAAGCTCTGGATAAACCACCAGGCTACCTTCAGAACCTGATTTCTGACCTGGAACTCTAGCTATCTTTATTTATTATCTAGCTATCTTTATTTATTTATCTATCTGTCTTTATATGAATGTATTTTCTTCATTCCCATATTGTAATGTATTAAATGCCCATGGTAACATTTGCAGATTTCATCCTTACAGCACTGAGATGAGCTGAAACACTTAAGAGCATTAAATAACATATAAACTATGATTCAAAGATAACTATCTTATTTTGAATCACTCCATGAAACAAATAATCTTTTATTTCCAATGCAGTTTAAGCCTCTGTGACAACAGAACATTCCAGATTGCAAAACTCTCTCAAAGCAAAATACTGAGCATTAGGTTTAAAGCTTCACAGAACTTCAAGTTTAGCCATTAATTTATAAAAGTGACAGTTCTGAAGTTCTACTTTGTCTTCATTAATAAAGCTGATGCCTTTAGCCCCAAGTGTAATATGCAAAACCCTAAATGCATTTCTCTTTACCAGCAAGCGGTAGCTTCATTTAGGGAAGTTTCAGAAGTAGTTTCCATGCAGTTGTCAGCCTTGTTGCTGGGAACCTTCCCTGATTTAGATCCCCTGCTACCATTTGTTCCATGGCGGATAATAGATGGGGAGACTGATTACAATTTCAATTTGTAGATTGTTATGATGTTTATGATATTATCAGTACCTTGAAATTAAATTACAACTTGTAATCCATCGTCCCTCACTTTACCCATTTGTTTTCCTAATACATAAGAAAAAAACTTCTCAAAGTTGCATAAGCACATAATAAAATATAAAGAAATAAATATATTGTTAAGTTGCTGAAATGATGTAGTGCTGTTATGGGTACTTGAACCATTTTTTATTTAAGGAAATAAACTGGTAAGTTAATGAAATGTAAACATAAAAACAACGGCAGTCATTGGAATGATAGACTTTTCAAATTTTTAAGCTCTGCTATACCAGCACTAAAACATATACTGATAACTCTGAACAGCTCAGCACAGCTTCCTCTGCACAGGAGTCTAACTGGTGGCAACTAATACTTCAGTTCCTACAGATGTGTACCTCTCCCCCGGCTCTGTGAGCATCGAGACTCAGACGGCCCTTCATCCTTCAGGGCTCACTGGTATATGAGAAAGCTGAGGCCAAACAGTTGAGGAAATCATCCAGGATTTTATTCAATCTTCTAGCCATTTTATTCTGTGTGTGGAGACTAACCTGCTGATTTCTATTCAGTAGTCTCTGGTAGAATAGTTTTCCTTAAAATTGAATGAGCATAAGAATTTCCAAAGGTACTTTTTCAAAATACAGCCCATCTCCACAGAGTGGCTTAGGCATCTACATATTTAGCAAGCATATTAACAAGTGATTCCAATGTACCATATTTGAAAAACATGACTCTAGAAGTGGAGCACTTAATCAAAATTTCATGAAGGAAAGGTTGAGATAGTTTTCAAATCTCTCCCTATTAGTAATTGAAAAAATATGATAGAGGATGATAACAATGTATTTGTCTTCTGAATCTAGATATTGTTAAGTACATTGTTTCTAAAGATGAAAAATTGTTCTCTTTTGCTGCATCAAATACATTTAAATAAATTGACTTATTTTCCACACTCTTGGGAAATGTTGCTGTTTATTCACTTTCCATATTAACTTGAATGCCTGTCATTTGAATTTCTTCTTATCTTTCAAAAAGTTGAACCATCTTTATATCCTCATACTTACAGTATATCCTTCTATTTATTGCTAACAGAGCCTGGTTTCATTTAAAAGTCTTTTTCAATCCCCAGCTTTTTATCAGAATAGTTTATTAAACTAATTTCTAAGTGATCACTCTTTTAAGAGCTTTTAAGCATGTTTATTGAGTAGTATGTTCATATGTCTGCTGCATTCTATGGGTTAGCCCAAACAGAAATGTAAAAATGTGTGTCTGTATCTGATTTTGTCTCAATTGTGTAAAAATGAAAGACAGTGTGAGCTATGGAAGGATATGAAAGAGCAAGTGCGAGGGCAGGAGACAAGCAACGAGGTTGTGCAAAGAGATATGGTGAAGAGATTCAGCAGAGCAGAAACCCCAGTGTTGGTGTCGGGAAGACCAGAAGGGCAGCAGGTATCCCGAGCCTCCCAAAGAGGTGGATGTCTTGTTGTGGAAGGTTAAGGTGAAGAGAAGGGGGACTGAGCTACACTACATCCTAGTGTGGGTGGCAGAACTCAAAAAACAGGCAAAGATGGAGTGGTTCATCAGAATGCTGTGAGCAGTTGAACCGTGAAACAGTCAATTACCAATCAATAGCTTAAGAAATCTGTAGGTTGACATCTTCCGATTAGGATTACTTTAGTTGCTTGCAAGAGAAAGCAGTGGACACTCACAGGAAGCAGGGCATCACAGGCACACAGGGGCATTTCACTGAACCTGAGGGCAGAGGAGAGGCTGGCCTTCAGGAAGAAGCAAGAAGCCTGGGTGCACAGTCCCTCACCCCCACATAGAGTGTCCTTTCATCCACTTACACAGCCTTCCCACATTTCTCCAGCAAAGAAGTTTCCCTACCCTCCTGAATTTACAGACTTTGAGCCCAAAGTCCTGGAAAGAGAGGGTATCCCAGCTCTAAATACCTAGGGAGGTGTATCTAACTGGGCCAGCTTGGATCTGATGCTCATAGAACCAACCAAATGTAGATAGAAGATACCAATATGGTGGTAATATGCCTCTGAGATCATGTAAATGAGGGATGGAAAAGGTCCAAGAAAATTTGTGTGTTAGGGAAGGAAATAATTATCAGAAAACCCCATCTTTACCTGAGACACACACACACACACACACACACAGACTTCGTCCCAAATTACAAAAATGCTCCCATGTAATTATTATTCAAACACTCACAGCTTCAAAGAAAGGCATTCAAAGGCACATTCAATTACTCTGTCTGTAGAGAATATAAGTCCAAAATCTCCAGGTATATTTCCATTGAGGTGAGATTCCTTAAGCTCTTGCAATCTAAGGAATCATTGACAGATCCAATCACTTCAAACATACATGGTAAATAATGACAGAAAAAAGAGAACAAATGTAATAGAAGTTCCAATTTGCACTATGTATGGTTTGCATCAAAAGTTCTGAGAGAGCACCAAACGCTGTTTTCCAACTCTGAGCACATTTGTGATCGTAAGGCCTTCTTGGAAAGTGGTCTGTCGCTTCCTTTCTTTCTCCACGACTGGAAGGGAGACATGTGATGAGCCATCTCGAATCACGTGGATGAGAAGAGCACATGGGAATGGAAAGCAGGGTAGAAAGAGCCCAGATTCCAGGCTCTTTCTTGATTAAACTAATTTCTAAGTGATCACGCTTTTAAGAGCTTTTAAGCATGTTTATTGAGTAGTATGTTCATATGTCTGCTGCATTCTATGGGTAAGCCCAAACAGAAATGTAAAAATGCGTGTCTGTATCTGATTTTGTCTCAATTGTATAAAAATGAAAGACAGTGTGAGCTGTGGAAGGATATGAAAGAGCAAGTGCGAGGGCAGGAGACAAGCAACGAGGTTGTGCAAAGAGATATGGTGAAGAGATTCAGCAGAGCAGAAACCCCAGTGTTGGTGTTGGGAAGACCAGAAGGGCAGCAGGTAGATGAGATCATCCTAGACCTAGGGTGGGTACTAAATCCAGTGACTGACACCTTTATTAGAGAAAGGAGAAGGAGATTTACACACAGACACACAGAGAAGGCCACATGAAGACAGAGGCAGAGATCAGAATAATGCTGTCACAAGCCAAAGAGCCCCCAGAGCTGGGGGAGAAAAGGAACGATTCCCCACTAGAGCCTTCAGGCCCTGCCAGTGCCCTGACTTTGGACTCCAGATCTCCAGAACTATAAGAGAATAAACAAGTTGTTTTAACCCCAAAATGTGGGGTAATTTGTTATGATATATCAGGAAACTATTATAAAAGATGAACTAGACTTTTTGATAGGTTTCTTTTAGCCCTGGGCATCTGGTTTGTCAGTGGGTCCCAGCAATAAATGAATGGCACACTCAAAGGTTTTACTGGAGAAAGCTAAGGTGAAGGGAATCAGTCAGGGCTTGTGATGCACCAGCGAACAGGGAAACCATCTCACCCCTAGGACGGAAGCCCTGGGGAGGATGTGGGTTTCTGAGGAACTGCCTGGGAGGTAATAGAGCAGTCAGCCTCTGAGGCCCAGAGCAGACAGAAAGGGGCAGAGCATGGATCTGGGCATGGATGCAGATGGACAATAATCAGCAGAGGTTCCATGACTTGATTTGGCAGACCATGCAGCCCTTCTCAACGGGTAAACTAGACAGCGAGCTCCAGGGGGAGTATATTTTAACACTTTGGCAAACCCAGAGTCTACCACAAACTTAGCAAACAAGAGGCATCATGAATCTACTTATAGTGATGATCCAATTCTGGTAGTAAACACTATTTATGCCAATTATAATTACTTGAAGTCAGAATATATGTTATCTGAAATCTTCTACTCTCAACAGTAGGCTATTAGACACATGTTATATGAGTTGTGACTCCCATATTAATCCATTTATTATACATGTGAGGAATACTTGAAAGCCCCAGTTTGTACACTAGATAGGTGTTAGAGTGCATGGCTGAATAAATAAAGATTTCTCAGAGTTGTGCTATAAAGTACCACAGGTATCAGGAAAATAGCAGTTCCAACATGTTACTGGCCAATCTGATCTGCTTGAAGAATATTTTCTTACAAGAACTGTTTTCAAAGCACAGACATTATACATGCACAATCTTAGAGACTCTGACTTTGAGTTTTTCAATGAAAGAAAATGCAATGGGTATGAGCCCAGCTAAAGGTGAAATCCCTTATCATTCAATGCCTTTCATCTCAGAAATAACTTAGCTATATTTCCAAGTAACATCTCCTTCCAGATGATTGGTGAAGTGATATGTGCTTTGTAGCTTTGAAGAGAGAAAATATTAATAGAACGTGTCATATATAGAACTTGAGTGGGAAATAGCATATGAAGAGAAATTTAGGGAGAAATTAATCAGAAAATTGGTCAAATACTGAAAGGAAGAAAGAGGGCAGCATATTCATTCATTTCACCAAATTGGAAAAACAAAACAAAACAAAAACAAAGTTGTTCGATGGATTCAGCCTTGATTCCCTGGCTATTGTGTCCTAGAGAATGGGAAAGTAATAGGAATGTTTAAAGGAAATAACTTTTTCCTTTGTCTATGAGAGTTCATGATGGCCAGGGACAATTAGATCAGAACTTGCACCAAAAAAAAAAAAGTAAAGCACACAGTTTACTGGGAGGCTCGGAGGTTTGTGAAAGAATACTGCACTTGATGCCTCTCACCACTTTTTTATGATCAGGTCATTCACTGAGTCAGCAAACAAGTATTGAGCACCTGCTGGATGCTAAACACTGTGGGAAGTGGAAAGAGTGAAATTGAACACTCAGGAATGAAATGAATGAATTGGAGGATCTCAAGGCTATGAATTAAAAAGATAAGCAGAACATTAATTAAATGCAGTTTACCTGTTATGGTAACACCCTCACGGTGATATGGAAATAGAGGCCCAACTCAGCTGCATAAGGCCTGGATATGCTTCCAGGAAGAACATGATGCCAGAGGTGAGGTGCAAAGACTCACGGAGGTTAAGCGAATAGGTGCTGGGGCAGGGTTCATCTGGAGAAATCAGCACGACCACAGACGGGAGGCTATAAGGGCCACGGCGCTTAAAGGCAGCCCGAAGGGGGGCAGCGGAGGGTGGCTGTGGCGAGGGGCGTGGCTGCAGTGAGAGGCGTGGCTGTGATGAAGGGCGTGGCTGCAGCGAGAAGCGTGGCCTTGCTGGGGGTGTGGTAGGTGAGGGGCCAGGTGATAATAAGGGGCGTGGCTGTAGCAAGCAGATGAGGCCATAATGAAAGGGTGTTTTGAGGATGAAAGAACAGGAGGCCAATGGTAGACGGCAAATGAAATATGCAACACAGAGCATGAAATAGGAAACTGTCCCCGAAGAGGTGACACCAGTGTGAGGACAATGGAGCAAAACTGGAAAGCTTAAGGTTCGGGGACTCTCTCCAGCCTCAGAACCGACAGAGGGATGGGAGGCTGGGAAGGACGCCGGGAAACCGCCGAACACCCTGGAAGGGCTGTGACGTCCCCCCTGAAACAGAGGCCGTGTGGAGTTGGGAGGGCAGCGCATCCGCAGGGCCTCGGCCCCGGCGCCCTTGGGAATCGCAGCTCCCTGCAGCTGCCCCCTGCCTGAAGCGGGGACCCTCGGGCCTCTCCCCTCTGGCCGGGCTCCATCGGACCCACCCACCGCTCTGCCGCAACCTCACCCCCTCGGGACTCACTGGGCCCCGCAGGACGCATCTCTCTGGGTGCCGCCCCAGCGCTCCTCCCACGCCTGGCCCGCGCCCCCAGGGGCGCCACCTCCCCTCATGTACCAGACACAGTGTGACCAGCTGGAGGGACCACAGTCGCAGCCTCCCGGCTCCAAGGCCCGCAGAGGCCCCCTGCCGCCAGCCCGCTGCACCCCCAAGTCACTCCGCAGCTTGGAGCACGTCTCCCAGGCAGGAGCCGGCAAGCAAGCCAAGCCTTCCCTTCTCTCACCTCCCGTATCTGCTGGGTGACTAAGTCCTACTGCAGAGTGGAAATTAAAGGCACTTGTGCCTTGTTCGTTCTTTACTTTGCCTGTGAAAGTAGGCTTCCGGTTCAGTTTCTACAAGGAGTGGAATGGGCATTAATGTAATTGGGCAGCTCACCTAAATTCAGCAGGTCATTCTTTCACTAGAAAACAAGAGGATAGAAGTAAAAGACCTCTAGAGTCCCTTCCATTTAGCTATACCATAATTAATGGTTATAACATTACTGTTACAGAAATATAATGTATATACATGAGTGCAATCATTTCAAAAATATTTATTTTCAAAAATACATTTCCTCAGTTTTATACTACAGATGTCTCATTACTGAAATCTCACCACACTTAAAATTCAGTCTCACTTTGTGTAATAATAAAATTATGTTTTGATAAAATTTTATGACTCCATAAATATATGTAAAAAAAACAGGAGAGCAAAAGAAATGCAAACTTAAATTTCCAAACTAAAATATGCCAAAATAGAAAGTACTTAGCAATGTGAATAAAAGAAGTAAAATAAAAGTAAACTGGCTGAATTAAGAGAAATGTATGGGAATTAGTGCATGTCTGTAAAATAAAATACAATACGCAAAATATTCCAAAAGTTACTCTTTTAACTTAATCGGAATGAAGCACATACACTCTTGCATAATGAGTTTTCAAAGACTAAATTGTACTGAGTTGTGACTCATGTATAGAAAGACTGGAAGCTTCATCAGAAAGAGCCTTACGTTGTATTCTAAACAATAACTTCTGGGAAATCAATTATTTACTCAATCTTTTCAGCAATGAGGTTCAATGCACATATATGAAAGAAGAGCTCTGTTTACAGAGGCAGAATACAATTGTCATTGCAAGTTAGGTAGGTGTGTGTGTGTGTGTGTGTGTGTGTAATTAAAACCATCTCTTGAATTTCAAGCTCTTCCCATCCATTCTGATTTTTCCTTACCAACCCTCACATATATGTATTCCCAATTTTCAGGTTGGCTACAAAACGCTAGACACTGGAAGTACAATATACTGTGACTCCTGAAACATGGACTGTTTCTCTGCAACTGATACAAACACTTGCCTCTCAGAATTACTTCGAAGACTAAACACTAGAGTGTGTGCCAGTCCCCACTAGCCTGGGTGGTAAAGCTAAATCAACTAGCTGAGCTATGATGCTGGTGAGGCAGAGGCAGGTGGGGGCACCCAGCACCCTAACGGGAATGAAGGGGTGGGGGAGGGCAGTTGATGATTAGGAGGGGGGAGTGCGTCCCACTCGTCCCCGGAGATGAGCTAGACTAGCTATTACCTGGAGCCATCAGTGTGGACCTTGGGGTGAAGCGGAAATTGCCAAATTAATAAGGGAAGGAAAAATCCTAAAATTCATATAAATGAAAAGTGTCACTTGTCAAAGAAGAGAAAAAAATACTTCATCAGTTGAAGTTTTCCAGAGAATACTCAATCAGCTAATCTTTTGAATCACAAGATAAAAATACACAAGCTATTATTTCAGACTCTTTATGAAGCTAAGCCATAGGTACTTGTTATTAAGATGCATGGCTGCTCAGAGGAACAAATAATACATGTGCGCCCTGTGTGTTTTAAAAATAGCTGCAGCTGGAGCAAAGCCCTTGGAGGACAGGAAGAAAATGCAGTTACATTTTTCGCACCTTCTGATTAACTTTCAATGCCTTCTGAGCACCAATGATTGGAAACTAAGAATGCTACAGTGATCTAAAAATTTATAAATAAAAAAATCAAATAATTGTCAGAGGACACAAATTGAAGCTAACCATGGAAAGGGTCTCTGTATTCCTTCCTCAACCTAATTCAGTCCATTCAATGAAAGGTTAGAAAATAATCACAAGAATGAATTTTTCTTTTCAGATATCATCTTTAAAACCAAGAATGGCTCTTTACTTCAGTGCTTACACAGTGTGTTGTGTGCTCTGTGTGTGTGTGTGTGTGTGCATGTGGTATGTAACTTCAATATTACAATACTTAGAGTCCAATTGTCGGATTCAAACCCCATAACTAGCCGTGGGACCTCGTGGAAATCAGCCACTTGGAGCTCAGTTTGCTACTGTATAAAATGGGATGGTAGGAATGCTTAGCTCACAGAAATTTTATACATGCCTACCATATATAGTAAGCACTCCACGAATGGTAGTTTTTATCATCTGGACAGGCAGACCCCTCATACACACTCACAGTGTCCACTGGCATTGTGTTTACAGCACTTCCTCAACACTGAAATACTGGTTTCTGCAATGACTTCAATTGTTTATTGGTTTGACCTCCCTGACTGATGTTGGAAATATCTTTGGGATTACTGGAGACAATCCCTGCAATCCAAAAATCTCCTGGAATTATAGAAACACCCCTAACAGCATGTAAACACCTGCAGACAGGTTGGCATTCCGACGCACACTGCTGCACAGGGGGACACGTCTTAGTACGTGAGCAAAAATGCACCACACTGACAACATTTTGAAAGCTCATGTTTCTTATTCCACAGAGAACAAGGCATGGCCTTGGGTGCAGGAGCGCCCTGTGTGCTGGCCAGGACTTCACAGGGCTTCAGTTGACTGACTACCAGATTTCCTTGCAGCCTCGAGCATCATGCGGGCAATATTTTCTATAAGTCTCTGGTGTGAGCCCACAGGAATAAACTAGTCTAGACCCCACCTCAGGGAATGCAGGGCTGGAAGGAACGTTGCTGAGTGACTGATGGTTTCTAGTCCTCCAGGTTTCTAGTCCAGCACCCCTGCTACTGACCCACACTGCTTCTAACCCCCAGTAGCTCAACCTTCCACTCGGGATCTGAAGGCACCCAGTGTGTTTTTAAGCAGGCAGCAAGAAGATACCCTCTGCAACCAGGAAGACACCTCTCACCAGAACCTTGGTCTCTGACTTCCAGTCTCCAGCATTGTGCAAAAATAAACAGCTATTGTCTAAGTCACCCGTCTGTGTTTTTTTGTTACATCAGCCTGAGTTGACTTGAGGCACCTTCCCAGCCATTACGTGTGCATCCCTCTGACCAAAGCAAGCTATCTTAGAGCCGCTGGCTGCTGGCTCTCTGCTCCCATCCTAGTGTCCTCTCTGCACCTTCCTTTCCTCATGCTCACACTTCCCTCCACTGCCCCTTCTCTTCCCCTGGCCCTCCTCTTGTGGGCAGACCAGGATGGGAGGCAAGGAAGTGGAGCGGGTCTACGTTCAGGACTGCACTCCCACGCATGTGTCTGTAAACATATGTGCCACAGTGCTCAAATTGAAGTAATTAGATATTAACTCAAACTACCTCAAAGTGGGGGATTCAGAGGAATCTTCTATCATCTCACAGAAAAGTGTGGTAATGGGAAAAACCGACAGTAAGCTGAGGTCGGTGGGCATTTCCTTATGACCAGGAGGTCTTCCAAGTCATTCAGCTTTTCGCCTTCACTGCCTGCCTGCACCTGATACAGAAGACAAATCGATTTGTTGGAAAGAGCTGACGTGAACATGTGTAACACTGCTATCTAATTACATACAATGGAAATAAAACACTACGCTCACGGGTTCCTTTCACTTCCTCAGACATTTTCATCAGCCCAGCCCGTCTAAGGCTTCACTCTACTTTCCAGACATTCTGTTACCTCTTGCTTTCTTCTCCTTTTATTTGTTCATTCTTTTCACTTTCTCCAGATTTCCTTTTCCTGTTTTCCTTGACTATCTATGTTTTTGCTTTGAGAGGACCCCTGAGGTATATTCTTTTCTGATTCAAAAATTGTCTCATTCAACAAGTCTACTGTCTTCTGGATTATTCAATTATGTATAATTATTTGAAACAATCCGCCCTATGGTGTGTTGAGACAGCACCCAGAATACTAGGAGAATTTTTAAGACATTCAACCTCTCGGTTAATTTTCTCCAACTTCTTCTATTTTTCCTAATCCCCCTCTTTCCATGTAGGATTATTCTGGTTTTAGTTCCTATACAAAATCCCTGGGAACAAGCATATAAAACAATATATTTTTTATTGTCATGTGATCACAATGTCCACCATGGTCTTTCTTCGATCATCTAGGGAATGATGGGGTTGTGTCTAAGATTTCCTGTTTGATTTTCTATCTTCCTTTCTCATTTCCTGTAAACATTTTTTTGGTAAGCTTGGAGGGGCAACACTTGTCAATAATTGCCAAATGCGTAATCTCTTTATTAAAGATAGCACTCATGAAAAAAATAATTTCACATAACAAGAGAATAAACACAAATGAAAACTCAAGGTTAACAGTTTAGAAGCTGCTATGACATAATCTCAGAGAGGGACTACAGTTTCTAGAGTAAATAAACTATTTGCATTAGAAATAGCAGTCCTTAACCTATGGCATGTAGGATGTAACTAAAAGCTTTGCATCACACCTCTTGTCCACTGCTTTCCCTGCTGACAGAAGACATGAATAAACAGGGAGTGACAACCTACTCACAAAACTAGAATAAACAAGAAAGCACTTTACTCAATAGTGAATAGTCTGTAGGAAGAAAGACAATCAGATGAGTGTGTAAACTTCTCCATAAGGAAGTGCTGAGAACAACCACCACCTCCTCACAGATAAATTACTGGTTCTTGCATACAGCAAAACCTCCTTGAAAAAAAATGTTCCTTTATCACTTCTGAAAATGCAGGTACAAACATACAAACACAAAGGTAAGTCAATTCCAGTTCCCACCAGCAAAGTCAGATTAAAGGAATGATTTCTTTTCTCTCCTTTGTTTTCAACTGTCTTGTCTGAACTATCACTTTGCCTTATTTATCTTAAAATATAACAGCCTTCCCTTGCCCCACATTCTCTTTTAATCTTTCATATATTCATTCAAGAAATATCTACTGAGCATCTTCTCTCCTCCAGCCACTGTTTTAAAAATGCAAGTGTGTCTACATCACTGTGGAACCTCACAGAAGTCCTTGTCCTTGTGGGGCTGACATTCGAGTCTTTTTTCACTCACAAGCAATCCTGTCCC